AGGTATGAGGCAAGATGTGGAAGAATGGTGCAGGACATGCAGTCATTGAGTGGTAAAAGGGGCCCAAGCATAAGGGATGCCCACCTTATGAAGAGTTGCCTGTGAATATGTCAGAGTTTGTGGAAGTGTTATCTGAAAGGATGGATGATATTCACCATCAAGTGCATTCAAACTTTAAAACGTCTGCTGATTCGATGAAGTTAACTTATGATAAGAGATCTACTGAAGTCAGGTTTGTACCTGGGGACAAGGTATGGTTGTATAATCCCAGGAAGACCAAAGGGAAGTCTCCTAAGTTTTCTTCTCCATGGGAAGGCCCATATGACATAGTGGATCGTCTCTCAGACGTGACTTTCCGGGTAAAATGTGGTCGGCGAGGTAAACCAAAAGTGGTGCATGCCAACAGGCTTTGGCGTTATCACGGTCCAGGACATTTCAGTTGGGATGAAGTGGACAACAGAACAAATGACGCTGCTGAAGACGTGCCACCTGAAGAAGAAACTACTCAGTTTTGAGAAGGGAAACGATGAAGCTCTTGATGAAGTTACTACCACTGATGTGACTGTTACCGATGATAGGACATTTCCTGATGAAGCAGATGAACCCCACATGAAGCATAAGCCAACGAGACGGAGACCAGTACGGAAGAAGATACATCCCGTAAAATTAAGAGACTTTGTTGAATTGTAATTTTGTGATTGTAATTCTGTACATTTAATTAACGCAACACTGCCTCCTCCTTAGTATTGTTCGTCCCGAACAATAGCCACTTACAATAAACCAATAACAATTAACAATAATCAGCGAGGTCACGTGACTAGTGTGACGCCACCTATTTTCTAGAAGTATAATGTTCCTTCGTGAATGCCCTAGCATTTACTAGACATATGTTTTTCTGGTGTATAAATAAGACCCTCACAACGTGATGGAATAATGTGTGTAGACAGTGAGTAATTGATCTGCAGTCAGAGAGTATTATTGAAGTTGAGCACGTTCGCTGTTATAGCGTTTGTTTTAGCACGATTGTTGAAATTAAGTGTATCGTAAAGTTATATTCGGAAAGAATAAACCAGTTTTATTAAGTAAGGACTTGTGTCACTAAAGTTTCGTCGGAACTAAGTTACGGAAAATTAATTAACAAACGGAGATGTAACAATACTTTGGATGGAAAGGTTGTCATGCGAGGATAAGGTTAAGAATTATGAAGTTGCTTTCTTTTCCCAGGAATCTGATTGAGGTGTTAAGATTGCTAATGTAAATGACAGTGTTAATGCGTCATCTTTTTTTCACATTTAATTATGAAAATGGTAAGGGTGGGGACAGAAATGTAAATTTTGGCAGGGTAGGAGTCATATTTAGCCAAGACAACTTTATTTTTCTAACAAGGTGGTTGACCTTTGGAACTGGTTGCCTTCAGATGTGGTGGATGCAGTTGATAAGTATTTGGATAATAAGGGCTGGCTTTCAGTTTTTCAGTGTTCAGTTTAGTGTCAGTGCATAGGACGACCTACCTGGACCAAAAGGTATCTTGTCCTATAATGTTACATTCATTCCAATAATTTTGTTTCAGACTTCTCTAGTGTATTTAGTTATGATTAATAATTTTAAAATGTTCTACATTTAAAATATTTTAATTTCGATTATCTTAAATTTAGGATAACGAAACATGTTCATATACGTTAAATGATTGTATGTACATTTGGTCCAAACACAAGGCTAATGATAATGCATTTATAAGTGCTTGTATTAGAAAAATATCATTATATTGTAGATGGCGATAGTAATTTACTCAGGTGGCAAAGGTACGCCCCCAATTCAGTTTACTGCTACTTGTAGCAGCAGTATTACTACTTGTATGTTTTATTTGTCAAATATAGACACCTTTGTTTCAGAAACTTGTTTATACATTGTTCATTATTGAAGGTAAGTGATCAGATATTATACTAGGAACGAAAAGTTTAGAATTGTATTACAGTACTATGGTTATTTTTGCAATTGAAGTAGTGTTTATTTTACTTAGTTTAATATCATAATAACTTGTATCTAATTTATTCTATCATTAAAGTGTAAGTAAAATCAGTTAATAATTAATAATAAATTGATATTAATAACATTAACACGCCAACATAACTCCTATTGAAATTTGAAGTTCTAAATCAATAGTAGTAAGACTACTAGTACTAGTAGTAGTACTACCATTAGTAATAATATACTCTAGTTTCACTGTTGTAGACAGTGTTGTGACTCTAGACTTTTTGAGTCTTATTCTTAATTACGAGAAATTGATTTATTTTTAAAATTTTATCAACTCTTATTGAGATTAGTGACAAGTAGTACTGGTAGTTGTAGGACTGATATTATATATAACTTATAAATAAATGTTGTCAATATCAGCCATAGGTGACAGTGTTAAATTTGGTATTGTGTTTTTGTTAGTTTACAAATGTTAACAGAAGTATTAAATTTGTTAACATATTGGGGCTGTAGCACTTGTCTGTAATTTAGATATTGTAATTCTAGGATACTTTCACAATTTTTGGCATTATTAGAATTGCTCTTTATTGAAAACAATTTAATGAGTAACACATAGTAATTAAGACTTTCAGAGACCTTAGCAGTGACATTAACTGTTGTTATACCCCCCCTCCGCAAAGAGGTTTAGCAGTGGTAAAATGACCCAAATTTGTGATTAATGTGTGCCATATAATTTTATATGTTAGTGTCTGAAGTTGTTGTTAAAGTTATTTATTCACCAATATTACTTTAAAAAATAAAATTGGAATTTTTCAGTTTTGTAGATCAAAAATGATTAATTTTTTATTTTATGCAAAGGAACCAAAATGTCCAAATAATGTACATTTTTATCACATATACCAAAAATTAATATCCTGTAGTTGTAACATTCAGTTTAGATATGTGCTGATGTTGAGTGTAGCAAAAGTTATTATTTCAGCAAAATTTTGCAAAATTGTAACAAAAGACAAACTGTCTGTGTGAATGAGCAGAAACAAGACTTATGGTTCACAAAATGAAAGAGCCTTAATAAATATATGCATTTTTTAAAATTTATTTTTGTTTAGTTTTGTACTAAAGAGTAAAGGTTGGTGAACTATACTTACTAATTGTAGATGAACTTGTCAGATGTTAGATTCACTAATCAATCTATATACTGAACTTGTATTCTTTATTGAATAAATCCATTGTGTGTTTTATAACAGGGTTGATCAACATGTCACTTGCACTTTACTGCATAATACGCTTGTTTATCATGTGATTCAAATGCATCACAAATTCTGCATGGGTTATTTCTTCAAAGTACAGTTAGAAGAAAAGTTAGAAATAACTGTATGATCATGGACATAGTCACACAAGCACCTACTCCCAATGGACGTCTGAACCAAGCCAGCGAGCCGACTCTTCATGATGAGAGTGGTGAACAGACATATCAGTCTAATCCACAAATGGACCTTCAACCTTCAAGCAGCACTCAAATGAACTGTGAATATATGAGGACAGGTGCTTTTCCTAAATTAACCAAAGAACATTCTGTTCAGTTCTCAAAAGTTAATGATTATGCAACAATAATAACAGAGGAAAGTATTGTTGGTGGTCGTTTAGATTCTGCCACAGGTAGTCCTGAACTGAGTAAGCTGGTACGTTCTAAGAGTATTTTTATCTTTAAAATTAAATTTGTGCCAAAAGTCTGATAAACATTATGTAAAATAATGTGCTTGGTTGGGTAATTGTTAAAATTTCATTAAAAAGACATTAGGTGAATAGTCTTATCTTGTGACTTGTATACCATCAGACTTTCATTAAAATATTTTGTATAGTAAAAAAATTCTCTAAAAGAAGTCTTTACTATACAAAGAGAACAAGAACAATCAACAATAGTAACCCAAAGAAAATGACAAAACAAAATATACTATATAAATACCAAATAAGGAAATTTGAAATAGATAAAAATACTGAACATACAAGATAAAATCAAAATTATTGCTTAAGTGCCTTATTTTTCTATTGAAAATTTTAAAATGACATAAATGTAAGTGTGTGATTCATAGAAGACAGTAAGGTAGTATTATATATGTTATTGGCAAGGGTTGAAAAAGATGTAGTGAGGAGGTTAAGGTTGTTCAGGTTTACTTATTGAAATAGGTTTTACTGTACTTGTTGTGAAGCTAAACATAGACTTTTATAGGAGGAGGAGGGATGAATGTGAACATACTATAACTAAATATGTGTTATGAGCTGCATACCTAACTTGATATAAGAAATTATGGTGTAGTGGAAGTTTTTGTTTTTAAGAACTTAATATACAAAGGTATTTTTACTTTAGGAATATTTGGCTTGGAGCAGTTTATAGTATGTTTGTGTAACTTGATGCTTCCATCACTAGTCAAAACCCTTAAACGTTTTTATTATGTGTATAAAATTATGTAACATTTTCATTACATTGGTTGAAACCTGTGACATTTTCACAATATTAGTAAAAACCTGTGACATTTTCATTACATTGGTTAAAAGTATACATCCTTAGTAGAAACAGTATATCATAGTTTCAGTTAGTTCATATGCAGAGTAAGGTTTGTGGTTGAGAATATCAGCTCAAGATTAAGTTTTCTGCTTGTAGATATATGTACTTGTAACTTAACTGAATAACTTTCTTTTTCAAGGATCTCCTCCTGGCTGCTACTTTAGTGTCTGATGCAAAAAATGGAGAACATTCTGATTTTGAAATGTCAGACAGAGGAGTGAGGTAAATAAAAAATAAATACTGTATCTTAGAAAATAAATAAGGCAACAAGCAAAGTTGTAGTGGATTATAAGATCTTTCGGAGAACATGTCTAGTGAATAAAATGTAAAATTTCTTTTATTCTAAAGCTTTTAAGTATATCATTTTACACTCACCTGCACATACATTGAAGAAATAGGAATGAAGTCTATCAACACAGAAATAACTAATAACATCAGCACCACATTTTGATTTATCACAAAATACTCAAAAAATAAAAAGACATCATAGTACAGGTGAAAAGCTGGGTATACACCCAGTTCATTGCTTTCTTTTTCCTTCCAGAGAATATTCTTACTTTTGCCTTTCTTTACTATCATCTTCCTAGAATTAGGGGTTTTCAACAAATATTTGACTGTACTAGTGGTTGATATATATATATATATATATATGCTGTTAGATTGTTCTTCGTACTTTGGATCTTGAGTGTGGTGTAAGAGTGATGGTGAAATCTTACTGTTTGATTAGAGCAACTTAAGAGTTGGTTGTGGGTGCTGTCGATAAGCTGTTTTCTCTTTAGATTATCAATTCAAAATCACTGATAGCTAGCACAGGTAGTCCTTGTATAGCTTTTTAAACTGTAATTTGTACGAGACTTGTATTATTTTCTGTGCTTAAAGTGACTGAATACTTGGTTGTTAAATAAACTTAATATAAAACCAAAATGGTTATCAAGCAGAAGAATTTTAAGAACTGAAGATTGATTTGTGTCTTTTTTTTAATTTGTCTGTTAATTACTAGGTTCAACCAAAATCTTAATTCTCGTACATTGGGACATTCAATGAGGGGAAAAAAATTGTCTTGTGGTTTAACTGTTCGTTGTGCCAATTGGAATTTTTTCCTAAACAGTTGGAGAAGAAAAGGGAAAAAAACAACACTTCTCAGATTAGTTATGGAACTATCTGAATATATCAGAAAATCAACTAATTATTTTTATTTTCAGTTTTTAGCCCATTTGTTTTCTTTGCAGACTCTACCTTATCTATCACCATTGGGGTCTTCGATACCTGTTGTACTTCTTTATTTTCACTAATCACGCTGTTGCTTTGTTTGAGGATCCAGCCTTGAATGGCTACTTGCTGCCTTATTGGGTGAGCATGAATAATTTAATTTATAGAATAATAAATAATTGTGTTGTTGTTCTATTTGAGGATCCAGCCTTGAATAGTTAATTACTGCTTTATTATGGGAGCAGACATCATTTAACTTACATAATAATAAACAAGTTAATACTGTCACAATGTTAGCATGTATATTTGGGCAAGTCATTCTTTAGTATACTACATGGACTCCCAAAACATGTTAGTAATTATATTTTTTTGATATAGCCATAAATGTTTACTCCAAAACTTGTGTCCAAGGGCATTATTTCAAGTGTCACGCTAGTATTAGTACTCTTAAAATATGTTAAATTAAGCAAACATAATATAAGCATTACTGGAAACTTAGCCCATGTAATAACAGGACTAGATATAATGACCATACTACAAACTGGTGTTTAATGTTGGTTTTATTAGACTGAAAAAATCTCAACTCTTATGCTTAATTTGCCACAATATACATAACTTTGTAGGCCATTACAAGTAATTACAAAATGTGTTAATAAAAAATTAAAGATATAATGCTTCATTTTCAAACTGAACATTATCTTGGAAAATTTTTTTAAAAAAAAGATATAAGTGAAAAAATGAAGTTTAAAAAGATGGTTATCTTAAATATTGACATGTGGTTTTGCAGGTCACTATGGGGATTGAGTTAGCTTGCTTATTGTTCTATGTGTTCAGACTGCTTCATGCTATATCTTTCATGCCCACCTTGAGGTTCTGGAGAGATAAAAAAAACTTGTTGGTTATTGTTGTTATCTTTCTTACCGTACTTGACATGGGAATTTACACCGGTTTCCATGCCACAGGCAGAGCTGCTCAGGCCTACAGATGGTCACGACCTTTGCGACCTTTGTTCCTGGTGAATTTCTCTGAAAGTAAACAGGTATACCAGCTAACACTGATATAGTTTTAAATACTCCTTTGTAAAATCAAAAGAGCTAAAAAACAAAACAAAAACCATTAGCACATGGCTTCATGTTTTGCTGATGTTGATGTCTGAAGGTTGAGGCTTTACTTTTAATGAACCTTTGAACCTTGTATTGGGGATTTAGTTTTTTTAAAGCTATAAGCTGTTTTAACTGTTTTGATGTTACTGTTGAATTTATATGCGATATTTCCTTTTTTTTTATTAAATATATTTATTCTTGTAAAACAGATTCTCTTTATTTAGTTGTAAGCCATGAAGATTAATAATGTTTTACCACACATGTAATTCATCACTTAGTTTATGTTGTTCATTACAAATTTTCCAGATTCGAAGAGCTTTTAGAAATATCAGAAGAACTCTTCCAGATATCTTGAATGTACTGATACTGTTCTTCCTAAACATTGCTTTATTTTCTCTAATGGCACAAAAGCTTTTTGTAAAGAGGTAAGACTTTTTTCTTATTGATGTGGGTTATTAGAAGAATGCCCCCTGGTTGTTCAGCAATAAGTCTGAGGGCTTATCATTCCAAAACATTGGGTTTTTGATGTGGCCAAAGCATAGCTAGCCCATTGTGTAGCTTTGTGCTTAAAATAAACAAACAAATAAATGTTATAACAAAATGTTTGAATCTGGAAGAATTTTTTTGTTGATATAAAAAAATTGATGCATGTAAACAAACCCAAGCTGACATTAAATACAAAAATGTAAAGTCAAGTGTGTATTCTTTGTAACATGAATGTTGTATTTAGTTGACAAAATTTCAGGACCTTGTATTTTAATTGTAAGATATTTATGAAACTATTGTGTGAATATAATTTTACAACTACAGGGTTAACTGGCCAAAAGATGTGGGTACTAGTATGTAATCATCTAGGGGTCACTGGCATATTTTGTCCAGTTGATAATACAGGCATGATTATTAATATTCAGGTATGTAATCATCTAGGGGTCATTGGCATATTTTGTCCAGTTGATAATCCAGGTATGATTATTAATATTCAAGTATGTAATCATATAGGGTCACTGGCATATTTTGTCCAGTTGATAATCCAGGCATGATTATTAATATTCAGGTATGTAATCATCTAGGGTCATTGGCATATTTTGTCCAGTTGATAATCCAGGTATGATTATTAATATTCAGGAATGTAATCTTCTATGGTCACTGGCATATTTTGTCCAGTTGATAATCCAGACATGATTATTAATATTCAGGTATGTGATCATATAGGGTCACTGGCATATTTTGTCCTGTTGATAATCTAGGCATGATTACTAATATTCAGACAAGTTGTAAACAACATAATAAAATATTTAAAAAAACTGGCTGCAAGTAGATCATTTAATTTTGATAATGAGAAAATCACATTCAATTAATTGATTGACAATGGGAAAACCAACTGTGAAACCACACTTTGATAATGGATCAATGACAGGAAAAACCACACATTAATAATCAATTGATAATGGGGAAACTACACTGTGGTAGTGGATTGATGGTGGGGAAATCACACTATGATAACAGAATAATGATGAGTAAATTACATTACAGTAACCAATTTACAGTGAAAAAACTGCACTGTAATAATCAATTGACAGTGTGGAAAACAATATAATAATGATTTATGATGAGAAGACCATAATAATAAGTCTAAGTTTTTATGGTAGCTCATTGGATATCTTTCACTGGAATTATCCAAGTTTAAAATAACAAGTATTCAAGTGATGTGTACATTTTTTATTGTATATTTTCTTTTTTTTTATTTCATAGATTTAGAAATATTATGATATATTAAAGAAATGAAATTGAAAAGACAAAACTTCCTGGAAATTCATGTCAGCTGATTAGTTAATTAGTGGCCTGTAATTTTTATTTATATTTTCCATGTTAGCAGGTATTTTTGAGAGAAATTACAAAGTCTCATTTACCAGAGGCCAAAAACGTTTGATTCAAGCCCTGAAATAAGAAATGAGGTTGAGATAAGGTTTTAAATGTTTGATAAATGGTAGTCTATAGCAGTACTTCCCAAACTGTGTATCTCAGGTGTGCTGCGGAATTTTCACACTTATTAAGTAATTTTTATTTCGTAATGTAAATTTATTATCAATGCAAATAATTTTTAAAATTTCAAACTTGATTTATTTTCCTCTTTACATGTGCCGCAAAAAGTTTGGGATGTTAAAAGTGTGCTGGGAGCTGAAAAAAAGTTTGGGAAGCTCAACCTGTATCTTAACCTTCAGAATCCTTTTGATAATACAAGAAATTGATAAACAAACTATAAATGAATATATATAAGTGTAAGAAATTGTGTACTTAGTGTTTTGATTTCTGTGTTGTTATATTGGTTGTCATGGAGATGATTATTAATTGTATTTTAGGTCTCTGAAGTATCCTAATGGTTCGCCATACTTCCAAAACTATTGGGATATATTTTTTGATCTTTACGTCCTGGTGACAACTGCCAACAATCCAGATGTCATGTAAGTAAAGGTGGCAATATTGTCATTACAGATGTCTTGTGAGGTAATCTTATAATTCCAACAATACAAATATAATGTGAAATCAGTGAATAATTTCAACAATGGAGATGTATTGTTAGTTGAGCTATTATATCAGAAATCTGTGTATTATAAGTTAAGCTCATGACTTAAACATTATGAATAAGGTGATTTGATGATATATTTGAAACCCAGATGTCTTGTAAATTAAGTTGCTTGTATAAATAGTAGTGACATATCTGGATTAATACATTTTGATATTGCATTTCTAATCTGGTTATGATACGAGTTCTGTTATGCAGTATGAATTATAACATTTGATGTTATATTATGTAAGTTTTTTTAAAAAAAGGTACAGTATCAGAGGTTGTGTAATGGCTCTAATTTATCATGATGCCATCTTTGATTTTTTTTTATAAAGCTAGTTGTAGCCAACAGAACTGGTTTTTCTTTTGATTGTGTGGTTTTCAGTGTTTCCACACTTTCAGCATTAATAACTTCAAGAATAATGCCCATATTTTTCCAGAATATTTTCATGAATTTCAAAAATTGTTTCATGATTTTATCTTAGAATTTCTAGTGTAAAGTTGTTGGTCAATAACTATAACATTATATTCAAAACTACAAACACCCATCTTCATAATGTAAATAACTTATTTGCATAGGGTTAAGAGTGTAACTGGTTACAAAACACTTATCATTAATGATTTAACACTATTTTTTATGAAAAAGATTTAATAGTTCAACCAATGATTTTGTAACCCATCACCCTCCCAGCACTGCACATAGGGCATGCTCATTAATGGATATTAATACCAGTAAAGAATAAAAATATATATACATTTAACATTTCAATCTTTTTATGACCAAATGAAATACTTGAATTGTCTAGCCTTGTAATCTCTTGTCAGTTCTAGCACAGATTATTAGCTGTTATAGGACCATGTTCCTGCAGTGTTCATTTATTTACTTTGACATGCTAATGCCTCATCAAGTTCTATTTATAGCTTCAACAACCATAAAGCTTTATTCACAAACATTACAGATCAAATGAAGAAGTACGGTTGAATTGTAAGGTAAACTTGTAAAAACTTTGTTTTAGGATATATTTAATTGATTTGTGGTACTTAATTTTTAGATGATCCCTATTATAGGTTCCAATTTAAGCTTTTCAAGTTGTCTCCAGAAATATTGATAAAATAAGTAGTTTCAACCTGCCTATCATAACATCAAGGTCAAGTTATCAAAATATCATTGTTACAATTGCACTATGACCATTGGTACCCTAATACACTAAGCGTTACATTATAACAATATTTCTCATTGTATTCCTCTTTCTGGTTGAATCAAGCTGTACATGTGTTGATGATATACATCGTGCAATCCACTAATGGTACACAATTCTGTAACCTCAACTAAATTATGTCTGGGTGATCAAAGAGTTAATAGATAACATGACCTTTGTAAGCAAATATTTTGTGTAATATATTACACTACAGTTACAACACTGCAATGTACTGCAATACAAAATGTCCAGCAATAACTACCCTTACTACTTATTTAATACCAAACAATGTTAAAATGTAGTTCTGATACATTCTGTTCCACTGCAACTTAATATTGGCTGGGGTTGTCACATGATTTTCTAATTTGTATATTCAAATTTTTGTTTTGGTAAGACATGGTTGAGTATATAACATTCTTTGGTCAGATGTAGTTGAATGTGGAGTTTTTTTGGCAGACATGGTTGAATGTATTTATATTCTGCTAATATTACATGACTAAAGCCTGAGACATTAATGCCAGTTTAATATCTTCATGAAAATATTATCCTTGTGGATAGTAAGTGTTAGCCAAAAATAAAACTATTTTAACTAGCATCTTGTGTCATTATACCTTTTGATCATTATCTTTTGTCTGTATATAAGATGGAAGAACTTTAATTTTTGGTTTGCAAAGTTTGATAACTGGCTGCTACTTCAAGGCTTAAGTTTAAGCATTAAATCATTTAGAACAATTTTGTTGGTCAGGTTATGATGTGTGAAGTTTTAAAGCTCGGTGAAGATTTGATTAACACTAAATTACAACTTTTTTTTTTAGGATGCCTGCTTATGATGAGAGTAGATGGTTTGCAGCTTTCTTCATAAGTTACCTAATCCTGTGTTTGTACATTTTCATGAACATATTCCTTGCTGTAATATACAATAACTATAGAAAACATTTAAAGGTTAGTAGTTGTTATTGTTTATGTGTAAGTAAAAGAATACAACATTGATGATAAACTAAAATTATCAAGATTTAATTAGACAGGAAGATTTTTCTTAACACAAGTTTTGGATCATTGTTTTCAGCAGTCAAATAAAGCATGATAATGTTATAAGAAGATTTATTTGAGACAGATTTTTTTTTATCATCAGGTTATCCTTGATGAACATGACATATTACTTAAAACTACAATTCATGTTAAAGAATCTTGACAGCACAAAACAAACTACATATATGTAGTTATCTCTAATATTACCTTCTGTTTAATTAACTATATTAGTATGTTTGAACACATTGACAGTGTTACGAGAGGTAGTTAAGGTAGCTTTATCATGCTTTATTTGACTGCTGAAAACAATGATCCAAAACTTGTGTTAAGAAAATTAAATCTTGATAATTTTAGTTTATCATCAATGTTGTATTCTTTTAGTTTAACATCAGTGTTGTATTCTTTTAGTTACCCTTGCCCTAAGAAGGGGTGTGTGTGTGTGAGTATTGCATGTATGTGTGTGTCTGTTTAGTTTATCATCAATGTTACATTATTTTAGTTTAACAGTAGTGTTATATTTTGGTTGCATAGCAGTGTGTTATATATATTTTTTACTTTAACACAGTTTGAATACAGCATGATAAGTTTTTGGGGAAGTGAGGAATAATGAAGTTTTGAACTGAACAGACTAATAAAAGATGTCTCATAGTAAAGGTGTTTTATCTATTGTTTACAGCTTTATCTCTATGAATGAGACCATAATGGATTGATTACACACCTTATTTATGCTTTGTTGCATTGCATTGTGAAAACTACTGGTTGAAATAGTTTAAAACTTTATAGTTATTTTCTACAGATTGTTATTTCTGCAAATAAAGTATTTTTTATATTTGATATTTTTATGAGTTTGTGATACATTTATTTAAGAAACAGTTTAATATGCTAACCTTTGGTTTTAATTTTAATCACTGATTTTTATGTCTTCATACATCCTCTTAATGTTTTGATAAAGATTTGATTTTATGAAATTGTGAATTCCATCTTTTCTTTGATCTGTAAAAAAAAACAATTTGTGCAGTTTCATTGTTTTGAATTTTACAATTTGAAGAAATAAAAAAAGAAATATATAGATATGTAGCCTTTGGTTTCTATAATCTGAGATTTAAGCAGTTTTATTACATTGTGGTAACCAAGGTTAAGAAACAGTGATTGTCTGAAAATCAATGAAATTATACATTTATTCAAATTACAGAGACATATTAATGCAATTTTGCTATTATGACTTTCCTCCTAGGGGCTACGAGTGCAGTATTATACTAAGAAATTCACAAACACTAATGAATTAATTGAGAACATGCTGAAATAAACCCCAACTTAAAATTTGAATTTCTTTAAATAAAATTTATGAATAAAATTTAATAAGTTAAATGTTTATAGAATTTCAACTCGGGAATTTTTTGTTCTTTTAATGTTTATTTTCTATAATTTTCTTTAAAGATTCAATTGTACAACTTGCCCTTTGAGGCAGATTACACCCATCTGCGCATGAAAGAACAAAAGAAAGTGTTCTCTACTGAAGATGTTATGTTGTTTTCAGTTTTACAATATGAAATGTACTCTGTTCTTAATATTTTGCTGTTAGTTTTTCACTTCAGTGCTGATTTCTTAACTTTGCACTATTTCACAAAGGAATTCTATATTTCCAGAATGAAGTTAAAAAGATGGTTTATATGAAGAGACAGAGCCTTTCAAGAGCATTTAACTTTCTGAGATTAAAAGTGGACAATAAAATGATGCTGACACATCAACGATTTAGTTCTCTCATGAAAAAGGTTTCCCCTGAAATAAGCTCCACACTAATTCAAGTCTTCTGGTTTCTACTTGATGGTGATGGAGATAATTTTGTAGGTTAGTATTTTAGTGAAATTGGGATTTTGAAAACGCTACTCCTCTCTCTACAGAACAAATAGCCAATATGTTGCACCACTGCCTAAAAGATTTTGTGGGTGTGAATGAAACACTTACCAATACTTGTAAGAACACATACTTACCAGTCTATATTTCAATCAATAGTACAGGAATATATCCTCCATCTGCAGTACTTCCCTCGAGCACTTTGTGTATACCAAAAGCTCGTTCTTGTTTCTTGGCACTGCATCGTTCAGCCATGTTGTTGTAAGAATTACAGAATTTTTACACTCATTATTTTAAATTTTTAGTTAACATTCAAATTATTATTTTTTATTTCAAGAAAGAAAGATAAAATGTTTAATTGATTATAGTTGGAACTTCTGATATGCTGGTTGATCAGAATGTACCCACATTGTCTGTACCACTTGATACACTGTTGGAGGTTGTAACTGTCCATATCTCTGTGGGTCGTACCATCACCGTTTTTTTCTCTTTACCTATCTCCAGGAGAGACTTATGACCAATAAGACCTTGAACAGCTGCCATTTCTTTTTTTCATCTAGGGAGACTTTATTGGACCCAATCCTCTCTTGGAGTGGTGCTGATATTGATATGAGAGGTTGTACTGTGGAGTGTATTCTCTCAGGTCACAACCTTCTCTCTTCAATACTGGTTCTTTTACTTATTTTCATGCATCTATTCAGCCTTTTACTGCTATTGATCAATCTATCTGTTCCCCTTCACTTTTTTCTAATTTTTCTTGGAGGTTGACAGTGACCCACAGGGCATTGATAATTGGCCATGGTCGGTGCCACCTGACCCAAGTGCCATGGTGGAATTTGGAGCAGGCTGACTTGCTCTCTGTCACCACTCTCTCGGAACTAGATCCTGCTGTCATTAGTCTTCCATCTATTAACAACTGAGTGGAGGCAGTAACTGATTGTATAATTAAAGTGCTGTTTGTTCTATCCCCAAAACCTCGACAAGTTTCCCCAAGTATCGTTGTCCATGGTGGTCTCCTGCCTGTCAGCAGGCACAGAAGGCTCAGAAACGTGAATAAGATACCTTTTGCAGGTATCTCACTCTTTCCAACCACCTTGCTTTTCAGTGGACCTGCTCATGCTCGGTAGGTCAGACATCAAAGTCAGAAGGAATCTTGAATTAATTTCATCATCAGCATCTCTTCTACCACCAGTTCCAAAGTTGTCTGAGACAAAATTCAGAAGGTCAATGGGAAGTATGCATCCTATCCCCTGTGTGCCTTGCTATCCAATGACCAAGAAGTTGCTGATATACAGAGCATCACTGATACTCTCGGGAAGAGGTTTTCTTACCTTTCCAGCACTACCGTTTCTTTCCCTGCCTTCTTGACCGTCAAGTCTCGGGCTGAGAGATCGGCCCTTACCTTTTGGGCATATTGTCTCTATGATTATAATCTCCAATTTATGCTTGTGAAATGTAAGCTTGCTTTTCATTGGTCTGTCAGTACATTGGTCGGGCTTATGATGTTCACTATGAGATGCTGTGCCATCTCTCTCCTGCTTCCCTTGCTTCTTCTGATTGTTTTTAACTGGATTTGGCAGGAGAATGTTTCATGGTGCAGGGCTACTGTTATCCCTTTTTCAAAGCCTGGAAAGGATCCCAAGATTCCCTCTAATTATTGTGCAATTCCTTTGTTAGCTTTTTCTGTAAGGTCTTGGAGAGAATGATTAGTGCACGTCTCGTTTGGTTCCTTGAATCAAACATGACCTCTCCCCCACCCAATGTGTTTTTTGTCTACAGCATTCCACTGTGGACCAACTGATTCTTTTATTGAAACCAAAATCAGGGAAGCTTTCCTCAAGAAAAAGCATCTTGTTTCTGTCTTCCTTGATCTTGAGAAGGCTTATGACAGTACATGGAAGTTTGGCATTTTGCAGGACCTCTATTCATATGGGTTGCATGGCCATTTACCAATTTTTATTTGTAACTTTTTACATGACAGACAATTCCAAGCCCATGTGAATTCTACCCTTTTCTGTTCCTTTCCCACAAGAACTTGGAGTCCTTTAGGGCTGTGTTTTGAGTGTCACCCTTTTCAGTAACAAGATCAATGCTATCACCAACTAAATTCCTCCTATTGTTGTAAACGGCCTCTATGTTGACAAATTTCACATTTCTTGTTGGACCATCTGATGTTTTATTGAAACCAAAATCAGGGAGCCTTCCTCAAGAAAGAGAATATTGTTTCTGTCTTCTCTGATCTAGAGAAGGCTTATGACAGTACATGGAAGTTTGGCATTTTGCAGGACCTCTATTTATATGGGTTGCATGGCCATTTACCAATTTTTATTTGTAACTTTTACCATGACAAACAATTCCAACCCCATGTGGATTCAACCCTTTTCAGTAACAAGATCAATGCTATCACTAACTAAATTCCTCATACTGCTGTAAATGGCCTCTATGTCGACAAATTTCACATTTCTTGTTGGTCATCGAACATGGGGTTTATTGAGCAGCAGCTTCAGATTGCCCTCACTCGCATGTTGAAGTGGACAACAGCAAATGGTTTTACCTTCTCTTCCTCTGAAACTGTTCGCATTCATTTTTGCCACCAATGAGGTTATACACATCAATCCTGAGCTCCGTCTTGATGTTGTTATTCTTCCCGAGTTTTGCTTTTAACTTGTTTTCTTTTTACATTTTATTGTATTTTATTTGTGGCATTTTTACCAGTTGATTGGCACAGATAGGCTAGTTGCTTTGCACCAATAAATGCCAAACAACCAACCAAACAACTATCTATTGGCCCTGGAATCTTTTAACATTAATTCTCACCATGTTTTCTTATACATTGTGAAATGACTGGCTGAGTTTTTCTGGATATCTGGCTGTGTTGGTATTCTATGGAATGAACATGCTGACACTGTAGCTAAGTATTTGTGCTCTGGTACTGTCACAGCTGTGCCTGTCCTGTATCTGGACTTTGATCCTGTGATCAAGGTCCAGCTTTGTGGCAGTCAGCATTTGATTGGGGGTGATCGACTTCAGAACAAATCAAATTAAACCTACTGTTCTTGTTTGGCCATCTAGTTTTCGTAAAAATCGATAGGAGGAAGTTGTCTTGGCTAGGCTATGCATTGGTCACAGTTTTTTAACCAATCATTTTCTTTTATGTGGGACTGATCCATCAATGTGTGGCTTTTGTGACACTCAGGTCACAATTGCCCAGATTTTATTTTTGTGCCACCATTACGAATGTCAATGGAAAAACCATTTTAGCAACGTATTATCGAAGGGTTCACCCTTGACATTGGACGGCTTCATTGGCAGTGATGACACTGTCCAACTTGATTGTGTTTTTAGCTTTTCGCAAACCATTGACCTTTTTACTTCTATTTAGTTTTTTACCTAATTTTTTTTGGCATAGTTTCATTTTTAACTTATTTTCTTTGAGATTTTATTGTATTTTACTTGTGATATTTTTACCAGTTGTTTGGTGCAGATAGCCAAGTTGCTTTTTTGCCAATAAATGACAAACAACCAACCAACCAATCTTGCTTCATAAGGGTGCTTCCTCTTTAGAAGTTAAACTACCTCAATTTTTTTTCTCATGAAACTACATTTGCCAACCATCCTTCCTGCAGAAGTTTTATAGAAAGTTTCATATCCTGTGGCCATTTCTTGGTGTTCCACTTCCAGGTTAGTCTTATTCCTTGACTGCTCAGGCAGTGGGGACATTTTCTCCAATCACTCTCCCTTTTATTTCTTCTCTGATTCTTAGATTCCATTATCTTATTTTTTTCCTATTTAGGCAGTTTGCTTTTATCTCACTGGTACTGCTGCTTTTTGAGGTGTTGACATTATTTTGTTTCATTTTTGTGCCATGGGATTCATATTTATCTCATGACTTATCTCCTCCTATCATGACCATTTTGTTTAAAAACAACTCATCCTGCTTATCTGTTCCTGTATGGGAGATGACTTTTTTAATCGTTTTCCTGTCATCTCCCATACTGTTTATCATCGTGCAGCTTTCATTGTCTCTAGTCATCAACTTTACCTGGATATGGTATTCTAGGCAGGAATGTGAGTGATCCTTTCCCCCCTGACACCATTTGTGTCGCATTATTTAGATCACATCGTGGTTTCTTCTCCCTTCAGTGATGGAACCCACCAAATGACAGGTGCTGCCTCTTAGGGAATATTTCTCTCTCTCTCCCAAAATATGTATTGAGTAGAGAACAGAAGGAAGTGTTCCCCTGCTCAGTGCCCAGTAATGGGATGGGGTTTTCCACAAGATTGTTTTGGCAGTTTGTGTATTATACATACCAAGACAGGCTAGTATTTCCAAAAAAAAAGAACAGCATTAGGTGTGGTTCCCTTTCCTTACATCTGTCCAGTTCTTCCTGTCCCTGTTTATGGTAACCCATTGTACAGTCTCTTAGCTTGACATCTTATGCAGATGATAGATTATTCTGATGTGGTCCATGCATCTTTCTAGTAGTCTTAATTATGCAAATTCCTCCCTAAGAGTTTTCTCCAGTGGAGTGGAAGAACCGTTGCTTTTCCAGGATGAAGCCACTGGGAAGGTCAATATGGAGAACTCCATTTCTGGTCACTGTACGAGACCAAGTGGATGCACCCCCTGATTGGAAGTATTACAGGGGTGTTTACTTGGAAGTGAAGTACAGGCCGCCCCGAACACCACTAAGAACTTACCACTACTCTGTGGTTGTGTCCAGCTGAATATGTCTTATGTTCTGCTTATTCTAGTAGTTATTTCATATAACTATTTCTCATTTGCTGTACAGCTTAACTCATTGCCCTAGCCATACTACACATAGATAGCTTCCTGACCCCATGAAATATACAGGCCATTTGAGCAACCTTTATGTTCTGCCCACCTTTCAATGCTTTAGCAACATTCAAATGGTTTATTTAACAACCTTTCTGCAGTACCACTATATTGGATGAAGAATAATCTCTACTTGAGATGGATGTAGTCTTCCACCAAGTGATGCTTCCACTAGGATCCCCTAGGTGACACATTTCACAAGTTTTCTATTTCTGTCAATATAATCTCAGAGAGGCAGTTATCTTTTAAATTTCTTTATTTCCACCAGTCCCTCATTACTGTGGGATTCAAGCTATCTGTTCTGTGGAGAGGTGAGTAGCAGTGATGAAGTTAACAATTTCTTTACCTGAAACTTTATTTCAGATAGATACTCTCATCTTCAGAGAACCACCATCTTCATCCCACTTCTGGTGTGTGTCTTTTCCCTCATCAAGAATGAAGGTTTGGTGTACACAGAGTGCTGAAAGGAAGTAGTGTGCATGGAGTATGTATCACCTTCCTGTTGGTGGAGAGGTCGTCTATTGCTGATTGTATCACAGAGTGGCACAGTGCATGTTATTATGACAGGCATGGGAGTTTTGTTCAAAGGCTTATTACATGTACAAAAACATTTTGGCAGTAGTGTGTGGTATCAGATGTTTGTTCTGTGGAGAGGTATCTTTCTCTAATACATTCACTCAATAAAGATTAACACACACACACACATATATATATATATTTAGAATTTTATTATTTATTAGGTGATAAAACTGTTTGATATATGCACTTCCTGTTTGATTTTTTTATATTGTTACATTTATCATGTTTATTATTTTGTCATAATTAGAAGTGATTGATTGTTCTTATTACAGAAAAAGCTGACTTTCTCCAGCTCGCTGACCTGCTGAATGTTTCTGTATCTGAAATACACGACAGAAAGTTCTTTCTTGCCAAACTTTTACCAAAAGTTTACAACTCGAAACCGTCAAAATTGTTGCGAAGATTGGTTGCTCAAAAGTAAGTAACCTTTCCATTGAATCTGTGTAGGAACTTGAAATGAATCTTAACCTCTGAAGATATACAGTAAAACAGATTGATTAACATTTTAGTCCTAAGTTAATGTGGTTTCATTCCAGTTATGCTCTGATTTCATAGTTTGTTGAATTATTTAAATTTCATGACCTATGATAGAATGCATTATTTTACATTTTCAGTCTTAATGGTACAGAAGTCTGGTTTAAATTTAGCTCTGGTCTTAAAGTCTTGATGAATAAAGTTTCTTTAACTATAAGCATCATATTACAATGAGCTGAACCAGTGATTGAAAACTGATTGCTGTAAACAGTTCCATGCATAGTCTTGTGGGTAAAGATATCTGAAGATATAAGCTCTAAAAGTGGAGCGGTTTGTTTCTTTTCAGGTGAAAATACTAAGTGCCATAGATGTACATGTAGTTAGAGGGAAGGGACATTCTGACCACACAAGTTGTGAACAAACAAACAAGACAAAATGTGACATGGGGTAATTTCATTGGAGAAATCAAATATAATCATCTTTAGATCTAAAAGCTGTTAGAAAATTGCAGAATATCAATAGCTTATTGAAACTTCAGCTTATACCCATATGATATGTAGTTGTGTGTTGAGATAACAAAGTTATTATTATAGATTATTACTGTCAGTATTAAATAACATTAAAATTGATTGACTTTTCTCCCAGAATAAGGTCTGTAGTACAGTATTTATTTCAATTTTTACTCTAGGCAAAGCTAGTAACATTAGCTTTTGTGGTAAATTTTGACCAAACTTAAAAACTTGTGTATATTTCCAAAACAATATTTTATGTAATTACATAATCATTTCATTATCATGATCATTTTCAAGTTGTATACTTATAATATTCAATCATAATGTTTCATGTAGGTATTTCAGGTACTTCTTTGACTTTATGATTCTGATAAATGCTGTGCTTATTGCTTGTGACATTAATGATGCCGAGTGGTTTTTCTTGGTGTTCTTCACCTTGGAAATTCTACTAAAGATCTACACATTTGGCCTTAAAGAGTTCTTCAAAAAATTCTGGAACTGGTGAGTGTAGATTCAGTTTCATGTCAATACATACGATGATTTCAACAAAATTATGTTTCTGATTCAATCGAGGTGGAATTATGGGGAAAAACTCCATGTATAGACATGAATTACTTTCCAATTAGAGTAACTTTAAGTCACACAAAGTATTTTTTGACTTTGTAAGAAGTAGTTAGATCATGACTTGTCACTGTATCAGTACAATTACATAGTTAGATCATGACGTGTTACTGTATCAGTACAATTACCTAGTTAGATCATGACTTGTTACTGTATCAGTACAATTACCTAGTTAGATCATGACTTGTTACTGTATCAGTACAATTACCTAGTTAGATCATGACTTGTTACTGTATCAGTACAGTTACCTAGTAAGATCATGACTTGTTACTGTATCAGTACAATTACCTAGTTAGATCATGACTTGTTACTGTATCAGTACAATTACTTGGTTAGATACAGTAACAGATCATGATCTAACTAGGTAATTGTACAGATACAGTAACAAGTCATGATCTAACTAGGTAATTGTACAGATACAGTAACAAGTCATGATCGATACAGTAACAAGTCATGATCTAACTAGGTAATTGTACAGATACAGTAACAAGTCATGATCTAACCAGGTAATTGTACTGATACAGTAACAAGTCATGATCTAACTAGGTAATTGTACTGATACAGTAACAAGTCATGATCTAACTAGGTAATTGTACAAGTACAATTACCTAGTTAGATCATGATCTGTTACTGTATCAGTACAATTACCTAGTTAGATCATGACTTGTTACTGTATCAGTACAATTACCTAGTTAGATCATGACTTGTTACTGTATCTGTACAATTACCTAGTTAGATCATGACTTGTTACTGTATCTGTACAATTACCTAGTTAGATCATGACTTGTTACTGTATCAGTACAATTACCTAGTAAGATCATGACTTGTTACTGTATCAGTACAATTACCCAGTAAGATCATGACTTGTTACTGTATCAGTACAATTACCTAGTTAGATCATGACTCTTCGTTTGCTAGTAACATTATGACTTGTGTCTTTATCAGCTTCACCTGTTAGTAATATTATTACTCTTATCTTTTTTAATATAAATATTCTCTCCCATGCTATGATTGGTTACTGTATGTATAGTTTACTTGGTAACTTGTATGGATTTAGTTTTTTGTTTTTCATTCATAGGTTTGACTTTCTAATCATTGGCTCTGCTGTGATTGCTACTATCATTGAGACAGCCGTAGGTGATTCAGGTATGTTTTAAATAATATATTTGTATTCTAAACAGTAAAGTGTACTGATTTTTTTTTTAAACTGTCTTTATTCTAACATAGGGTGATGCAGGACCAGAGTGTAGACAATGAAAACAGCAGAAGATAATAGCGTGTCACGTGACCTACTGAAACATAACAAGTGATAAAAATGAGTGCTCAGGTGGATGTATGTTGATAATTGTGCCATGCTGTTCTAGAAAGTTAAAGTACTAGACTTCATTGAGATTGTATCAAGTGCCAAGAACTAGTTGGCCCCTCAGTGGCAAGTTTGTAGACTTATAATGCTAAAAATGGGATTTCAGTGGGCACAGCACTGATAACCAATTATGTAGCTTTGTCCGTAACTACAAAACAAAGTTTTATTTCTTGTTAATTGTTTGTTGGTTTGCTTGAACTATGTAAATAGCTTATTAAGTCATAACTTGTATATCCAGCAATTGTATGCATATGTCATATTTTTTAATTATCAGCTTGCATACAGTTTATAAGGAAATAGACACATTATTCTAGGCACTGCTGTTTATTATAAAAAGAGAATGTTTCTAAATCAGTCAGACCTTAAACCTTTTTTTATTACATCTCCACAGATAATAGTTATTTTATAGTGGTTATGTTAACACTGTGTAAATATGTAACATGAAATTGACTGTCAGTATAAATTTTTTATATTTTATAACCTATATAATCATGTTTTAATGTATTACAACTTCTTAATATGTTGTCAAAACACCTAAAGTGTTTTAGGTTATTAGTTATGAGGCTTGTCACATTCTTACACAGATTCTCACTGGACCTTCATCTCTATTTAATAATTCATGATCTTTTTTAAAACTTTATTATTTCCAAAGATTCATAGATATTATTAGCTCTAATACCCTATGGTTGAACCAATATTACTTTTTTTTACCATAATATCTTGTGTTTTTTGTAGATTTTCTGCTATGGGCAAATGTTCAATATATTTATTTCTTACACTTTCCTTATGTTCTGCTAAATGATATTTTAAATTACATTTTGTCTGTCCAATATAAAGCTTTCATATTCACATTTAATTTTATAAATTCCAGCTTTTTCTATTAAGCCCGGCATGGCCAGGTGGTTAGGACACTCGACTTGCAATCTGTGGGTCACGGGCTCGAATCCCTGT